GAAGTCGAGTGACATTCCTCTAGGGTATTCCAACATTAAAAGGTTAGCGAACAAGGGAGATTGAGAAAGAGTGGCTATTGTGATAGGAGAAAAACAAAGAAAATGTGTTTTTTCTCAAAGCCAAATCAAGAATGTGTTCTGAGGAGCAGGAAGAGACCACAGCTTAGCCACAGCTGCAGACAGGAAGAGAAAGACGAGCACAAGCACCAGGCTTCAGGAATGTGGAGGTCTCGGGTGACCGCCACCTAAACATTTCCACAGTTTGAGGGGGCAAAAACATTACTGAGTTGCTGCCAAACAGCAGAGAAGTACAGGTACCTGAAGAAACGTAGTTATATAATGAAGGAGAAAACGGGGCAGAGAAGAGAGGTTATTTAAGAGGACAGAGGGGAATGGCCGAGAAGGAGGAGGGCATGGCTAACTCCTCCAGGAGGGCAGGCAGGGTCTATAGGCACAGATGCAGATGGGTGAGATGGCCATCTCACCCATCTTTGACCAGAAAGGAAGAAAGCACTGACAGCTGAGGGTGCGGGGACAGGTGCTCCAAGTCTGAGGAGCACGGCAGATGAGGGGGAAGGTAAGGAATGTAACCATGAAATTTAATCTCAAGGTGGGAAGTAGATGTAGAACAGTGAAATGGTGACAGAATTCAGTTGCTTTAAGGGATGGCTAACGACTTGAAAATCAAAGGACTCCAGGGAGCATAGCTGAGAAGATAGGATAGTAGTCAACAGAGATGCTTAAAAATGCAATTCTACAGGGTTTGCAAATACTGGTAATACTGAGGCCTAAGAGATGCAACAGGAGTACGTGGATGGAACAGAGATGAGATGAAAATACCTAAGACAGAAGGAAAGGATGGGGTTGGTGCAGTGGCTTAGCAGGTTAAACTGCCACCTGCAGCACCGGCACCCCGTACGGGAACTGGTTCGATTCAGGCTGCTCCACTTCTGCTCCAGCTCCCTGCTATGGCCTAGGAAGGCAGTGGAGGATGGTCCAAGTGCTTGGGGCCCTGTCACCCACATGGGAGATCTGGAAGAAGCTCCTGGCTCCTGGCTTCGGTCTGGCCCACCTCTGGCCATTGCAGCCACTTGGGGAGTAAACCAGCGGATGGAAGCTCTCTCTCTCTCTGTAACTCTGCCTTTCAAATAAAACATAAATCTTAAAAAAAAAAAAAAAAAGGAAACAATGCCAAGGGACTCTGAAGCCAAGATACTAACAGCATCATCCTGTGGATACTGAAATGCTCCACAGTTATGAGAAGGATGTTGGAGATAATGACACTGAGCTGGGAGCCCAAATCCCCAAGCCAGGGGAGTAACCTCGGGACCTGACGGGGACCACCTTGGTTGTATGTACGCTGACTGGTGGTGCAGGCTTCTGACATGAGAAACAAAGGTGGAGTTTACAAAGAAGAGTTGTTCAGCAAACAGCAACGAGGAGCAAGTAGCACAGGACGGGGTTCGGGCAGCAAAAGCAATCACTGAAGAGAGCAGGAGGGGACGAGTATTTGAACAGTTCTCCAATTCTAAGCTCTTGAAATGCACACAAATACTGAGAGGTAAAAGAATATTAAACTCATAAATTGTAATTCTAGGTAGCACTAATATGCTGGTATATTTGAGTGACGGGTCACCCGGAGGTTGAACAATGTTTCTCCAATTAGAATCGGCTGGGGGAGCTGGATAACCTGCACACCCCTAGGTTCCATGCCATGCTACTGGACTCGATCTCTGAGGGCCCAAAAGTCCCCCGTGCGGTTCCTGTGTGTGCTGAAGCGCTGACAGGGAAGACACGAAGGGAGTGAGGCTTCCAAGGAGCAACGAGTGGCAGCCCTGTGCTGCTCCTTCAGCAACTTCTTAGGTCCCCTAGGGAATCAGTACAGACAACAAGCATGGAGCTGCCCACTCTTCAGAAAAATAACGTCAGCCAGAGGCTCGAGATACACCGAGAGTTCGGGCAAGGACACTGCCTAAGGAGGACTGCTGGTCATTAGTGGTCAGCGTCTCTCCATGGGGCAGATACTGCCTCCTGAGTACAAGTCACGCTCCCTGTGGGCATCAGTCCCAGGCATGTTGAAGGTCCCTGGTCCTTGGCCCCTGAACGCCAGCTTCATGTGCTGTCACTGACAACCAAAACCAATGTCCCTACATTTCCAAGTGTCCTCTCAGGGAGGTCCTGCCCTGCTGAGAACGACTAATGGCTAGTAACCCTGTCAACCACGGGAACTAGAGGATGATGGGATGGATGGGGGCCCCTCCACCTCTGAAATAGCTCACTGGCACTCTAGGAGATGGTAGCAAACTGGCTTCATGAAACCGCACCATTAGTAACAGCATTTTCCTACAGGAAGGCTGGCAATCACCAAAAACAAATTATTACTGTGAACATACCTCTACTTTTCCAGTTAACCTCTCAATTTCAGAACGATCTTCTTTGTGATTTTTGGCATTTCCTCTGAATTCTCTTATTTGCTTTTTCTGCAGCTTTTCATAGCTTCTTTTCAGTCTGCCTAACTGTAGAAAAATAGTTACTTATATACTTAAAATCTACGAAATTTGAAAACAGCAGTGGTAGGACAAATCAGCATTATTAAAGCAAGAGCAGTGGTAACCAGTACCACTGGAAACAGATTGAGAGCACATTAGACTCACAAACTAAAATACAAAACAAAACTTAAAATCACATGTAGAAAATAAATACTACCAAAGGAATGTCTTCAAAGAAAAGATAATACTTAAACAAAACTTTAATTTTAATAGCCTTGTACTTAAGGACTTCACTCCTACCCTCCATTATAAAAGCAACAAAAAAGCTTTTCATGTTTTCTAGGTCTGGGGTTCTCAAACCATACTCTTGTCAGGCACCAATATTCAGTAAGCAAGAGAGCAGTACTTTGGAATGAAATAAAGCCAAAACTATTTTTTTCCTAAACCATGAGAGTAAATATTCTAGAATTCTTGTTCTGGGTAACATCAAACACATTATTAGGCAAGGTTCTTTACAAAGCAGAAACTGGCTCTCATTAACAAAATTCTCACAGGTAAAAGAAACAGAACTACACAATGTGTAACAGAATTAACATCTTACTTCTTCATGTAGTTTCGTTAACTCTTGTTTATACTCCATAGCCATCTCTTGCTTGATTTTCTCATGTTCTTCCATCTGCTGATGCAACCTTCCAACCTAAAAAGTAGATAGGTGATAACACTTTTCATTATTAGCAGTGAAATACCCTTGAAAGAGAAACATAGGAAATACATTTTGGACTTGTTTTATATTCAGGTTCTCAAATGTATGTATACGGTAATATCCCACTTCTCAGGAGGTCAAATATCTAGTTATTTAAAACAACCGGAGAACAAACAACTGTTCTAGAATTTCTAAACTGAGATGAAAACTCATGCTCTCACATGCTCTGATGTATTCTCCCCAAAGATTTTCATAAAAAAATCTCATAAAAAAAGAGAAATCAAGTTTTAAGATTCTTGGAAACCAAGAATACTTCACATACATGCACACAAATCTGTGTGACTTCAGGGATAAGATACAAGTCAAAGTGTAAAACAGTAATGTCAGACTTCAAGACAACAAGGGCTTGTACCTGCTACAATTTAGCCAGCTTCATAGAAATCAGTTCCACCAGCCACAGTAAGTTATCCCAACCCACTTTTCAATTATTGGAAGCTGGCCACAGCTATTTCATGCCTCACCCTCATATCTGTGTGCATCCAGAAGTATTTCTCATGAAAACCAGTCAGAATCTCATCTATTGGGGTGAGCCTACTGTTTAAGATGCCCGTGTCCGGCCGGGGCGCCGGATTCTGTCCCGGTTGCCCCTCTTCCAGGCCAGCTCTCTGCTGTGGCCTGGGAAGGCAGTGGAGGATGGCCCAGGTGCTTGGGCCCTGCACCCCATGGGAGACCAGGAAAAGCACCTGGCTCCTGGCTCCTGCCATCGGATCAGCGCGGTGCGCCGGCCGCAGCGCGCCGGCCGCGGCGGCCACTGGAGGGTGAACCAACGGCAAAGGAAGACCTTTCTCTCTGTCTCTCTCTCTCACTGTCCACTCTGCCTGTCAAAAAAAAAAAAAAAAAAAAAAAAAAAAAAGATGCCCGTGTCCCATATCAGTGCACCTGGGTTGAATACCCAGCTCTAGCTACTGACTCCAGCTTCCTGCCAATGCAGACTCTGGAAGGCAGGGGGGCTGGCTCAAATAATTGGGTTCCTTCCACTCATGGGAGACCTGGATAGTGTTTTGGTTCTCAGCTCAGCCCCAGCTCAAGCAGGCACTTGGGGAGTTAGCCACCAGATGAGATGGGAGCTTTCTTGGTCTCTCTCTCTCCTTCTTAAATCAATAATCTTTAACAATTTTTCATCTATTGATAAGCGGAGACAGAGATGGAAAACAGGAACAAGAGGTAGTCATCTCATCACAACATACCAAATGAGAATGCAGAAATCTAAACTTCCTAAAAGAGGAAGAAGTTGAGGCAATTACAATACAGAATTCTAGGAGGTTTTGGAGGAGGTAAGGAGGGAGTCTTTCTAAAGTTCAATCAAATTAGAAGAATGTTCAACACGGCAATAAAGGGGTTGGTGTTGTGGCACAGCAGGTTATGCTGCTGCTACAATGCCAGCATGCCAGGTCAGAGCACCAGTTTGAGCCCGACTGCTCAGCTTCCTATCCAGCTCCCTGCTAACACATCTGGGAAAGCAGAGAAAGATGGCCCAAGTAGCTGGCCCTTATCTACCATGTGGGAGACCAGCATGGAAGTCTGGGCTCCTGGCTTCAACTTGGCCTAAACCCCTGACTGTTGTGTGCCTTTGGGGAGTGAATCTGGAGGTGGGAGACCTCTCTCCTCTCTCTTTCAAATAAATAAATCTTAAAAAAAATAATAAAGTGTCAGAGAGCTCAGCAAGTGACTAAGGAAATACTGTGTCTTGAGCACAGGAAAAAAACATTGCGATGGCCTTTGCTCCTGCCTGGTCAGCTTTTGCTTTGACTGGACCACGTCCACCTTGTGATGGCCATTGCTTTCACTGTGCTTTATCTTCAAGATCATACTGGAAAAGAAGTATTTCTATTTTTTCTTGTTTTTTTAAGAAAAACATCTTCCATCTACTTGTTTACTCCCCAGTTGCCTGCAATAGGCCAAAGCCAGGAGCCAGGAACTTCCTCCGAGTCTCCCATATGAGTGGCAGGGCCCCAAGTACCTGGGCCATCACCTTGGCCCATGAGCAAGAAGCTGGATCCAGGACTTGAACCAGGGCTGTAACAGGGGAGGCAGGCATCCCAAGCAGCAGCTCAACCTGCTGTGCCACAAGGCCTGTCCCTGATAAAACCATGTTACATCTGTTGTGATTCTTGGAAGAAATCCTTCAGGATCATAACCCCCTTCAAACCTCTGCTCTTGTTTGAGGTTGAGCTGGTTGCAACAGGTGTCTGGCTCCTGTCCCACTTTAACTTTTCACTCACAACTGTGTCAGCTCAAGCAGCTGAGGTGTCTATGGTGTTGGCTATTGTCTCTGCTGTTAATCATTAGTCTTCTTCAGTGTGACGATGAATACACTTAAGCTTTTCCTTAAAGATGTAAGAGATGGTCTGCCCTGGAGGCTCCATCTTCAACATCGCATTGCTTCTTAAAATGAGCTATCCATCTGTAAGCTGCTCATTTCTTTAGTACTTTGTCTCCATAAACTTCTTTTTTTTTTTTTTAATTTTATTTATTTATTTTTGACAGGCAGAGTGGACAGTGAGAGAGAGAGACAGAGAGAAAGGTCTTCCTTTGCCGTTGGTTCACCCTCCAATGGCTGCCGCGGCCGGCGCGCTGCGGCCGGCGCACCGCGCTGATCCGATGGCAGGAGCCAGGTACTTATCCTGGTCTCCTGTGGGGTGCAGGGCCCAAGCACTTGGGCCATCCTCCACTGCCTTCCCAGGCCACAGCAGAGAGCTGGCCTGGAAGAGGGGCAACTGGGACAGAATCCGGCGCCCCGACCGGGACTAGAACCCGGTGTGCCGGCGCCGCAAGGTGGAGGATTAGCCTAGTGAGCCATGGCGCCGGCCACCCATAAACTTCTTCTAAAGCACCAATGATTTCACTATTCTTCACCATCAATCTGATGTTTGTTCTTGCTTCAGTTTTAGCAGAATTCGTGCTGTTCTGATAGGGGCTCTTTCCAAGCTCGTGTCGTAACCTCCTGTGTGCCTCAGCCTAGATCCTGTGCAGACGTGTTAACAAGCAAATAGGTTTATTTAGGTGCAAAATTCTGGAACTCATGCATAGTTTCTTCATGAAACACATTTCCATGAAATCTTTTATGACTCCTATACCGCTTTATCAGATTAATGAAGTTTCCTTTTATTTCTAGTTTGCCAAGAGATTTAAAATTTATTATGAATGGATAATTCAATTTTATTAAATTCTTTTTCTGGACCATTTGCGATAATTATGGGTTTTGTCCTCTGATAATGTGGTGAGTTATAGAGATTTACAAATATTAAAGCAACCTTCAGTGTCTAGAATAAGCCAATTGGGTCATAATGTAAAATCCTTTTTATATATTGCTAGATTGAGTTTGCTAATATTTTATTTAACAGCTTCACACATTCTTGCTCATAAGGAATTGGTCTGTAATTCTCCTTTCCTGTTATGTTTTTCTTAGGCCTTACAATTAAGATTATGCTGTTTTTCATGAAACGTGCTAAGAGGATCTTTTTTCTGTTCTCTGGAATACTCTGTACAAAATTTGTTACTTTTTAAAATGCCTGGAAGAATTCGCCATGGAAGCCAGCTGAACCAGAGAAGTTTCTCTGTGGAAAGGTTGTTCAATAATAAATTTAACAGGTAGGGCACTATTCACAAGTTTTAACTTTTCCTGTGTGCTGAGCTTTCCTATGAATTTTACTATTAATTCCTAATATCCTCTTCACAGAGTGTATAGTGGTTACTTTTTTTCAGTTCCAGCGAGTAGCTATTCTCTTTTTCCTAATGTTTCTTACTAGGATTATCAATCTTACTAATTTGTTTAAACATCAGTAATGACTTTGTTCATGCTTTCTTATACAGTTATTTTCTATCTTTTTAGTTTCTGCTGTTATGTTTACTACAATGTTCTCCTTTGCTTGGTCTTAATTTGTTATTGTTGTTAAGATTTTTTTTTATTTATTTGAAAGCCATAGTTACACAGAGAGAGAGAGAGACAGAGAGACAGAGACAGAGTGATGATCTTCCATCTGTTGGTTCACTTCCCAAATGGTCACAACAGCCACAGCTGGGCCAGGCAAAAGCCAGGAGCCAGGAACTTCTTCCAGGTCTCCCACATTTTCTGCTGCTTTCCCAGGTGCTTTGGCAGAGAGCTGGATCAGAAGTGAAGCAGCTAAGACTCGAACTGGCACCCATGTGGGATGCTGGCGCTGCAAGCAGTGGCTTTACCTGCTACACGACAGTGCCAGCCCATGTTTTAATTTCTTAAAATAGATACCTAGATCACAGAGTTATAAGTTTTCTTTTCTGAAAGATACACAGAACTAAAATTCTCTCTAGGAATTGTATTAGGAACACTCTACAAATCTTACATGCAGCAAGTTCATTATCATTTAGTCTAAAATCTTGTAATTTTCATTGTGATTTCTTCTTGACTCATGGGCCATTATGTATTGTTTAATTTCCAAGCATTTTAGTATTTTCTGGTCTTGGATTGTTCTGTTTTTAGCTTAAACCCACTTTCATAAAAAAACATATAATTTCAATCTTTTGAAATACATTGATATCTGAATGGCGGTAGTGGGAGGGGTTCCATATTCACCTGAAAGGATCATGCATTTGCTGTCTATTCAATGTGATGTTCTATTTAGCTTAAGTAGGCCAATTCTGTTAATTTTGATCAAATCTTCACCTTACTGACTTTTCTGTCTGCCCATTCTATCAATTATTAAGAGAGCGGTGTTAAACTCTTCCCCAATGCCATCTATTTAATTTTTTCCTTAATTTTATCCATTTTTGCTTAGTGTATTTCAAATGTATTCATTTATTTTCATTTTATTTGAAAGGCAGTGAAACAAAGAGAGTAGGTATTCCAGCACTGGACTTACTCCCCAAGTGCCTGCAACAGCTGAGGCTGGGCCAGCCTGAAGCTAGGAGCCTGGAACTCCATCTAGGTCTCCCATGTAAGTGGCAGGGGCCCACAT